GTTACAACTATCTTCGTTCACTTTAACCTTCTTTGTCAGATTACAAAGAGTCGTAAAAAACTTCCTATTACAATAATTTATTGGAGCAAAACTGATCCGTAAATAGCTGAATCAGTTCTCTCAGGGCGAAATGACTAAATTCCTTCAGTGCACACAGACTATACCCGAAAGGAAAGATACATTAGTAAGTGAAATTTGAAAGAATTTTTCATGGTGCGGAAAGTCATGATGCATTCTCTATTTTTGAGGTGCATATGACTCCAATGTGGCCTGAAAGACTAGCAGGTTTCAATAAAGTGTGCCCATGGGTAAAATGAACTCACTTGCTTTAAGGCAATTCATTCCGAGAGAAAAGATGTGACTCGGGCAAATGGAACTCATTAGCCTTGCAAAGTCACAAATCTAAAAGGAAGATACAATAAATAAGCCCACAACATGAGGATTTCGCTGCCACAATTACGCTTGCTAGGCCCAGGAGATAAACCACAAGACGGTTATAATTCACTCCCAAAATAATAATTAATTTTTATCTGAAATTTAAAATTTAAAATTTATGAAAATTCATTAGTTTACTATAATTTTGCGCATTAATCTACAAAATAAATTCCAGCAATATAAAAACCTAATTTTAAATAAATGTTAAAATATTGAAAAATATCACTTCATTTAAAAAAAAAAATGGATATTTTGAACTTAATTGATTAATTTGTGTGCATTGCATAGGTACTGGTCGCATAAATTGTGGTTATTTGATCAACATAAATAAATAAATAATCTTTAATAATTACGCTCTGAATGATATTTCAGTAGCAAAATTAAAACCTTTTTTGTATACTAGACTTTTTTCTATAATTTCTAGTAATATCAAATTTTACTTTAATTAAATGTTAAAACTGTTAAAAAATATATATATTCATCAAAAAAAGTTAGTATTTTGAGTTTAATTGAATAATTTTATGCGTTGCATGGGTACTGGTCATTTATGGTGTGGTCAATTGGCAACATAAATAATAAACTAAACTTTAATAATTAAGTTTCAATCGATATTTGATCAGCAAAACTAATTAAATTCTTTGTTTGTCATGGTTATATTTCATTCTTACAATTATAATTAATTTTTTTTCCAAATTTAAATACCATAATTAATGAAAATTGTATAATTTTTGGAAGTTTTTGTACATTAAACTATGAAATAAATTCTAGCAATATCAAAAAATCATTTTAATTAAATGTTTAAATATTGAAAAAGATCGAATTTCAGGTATACTTAAAAAGAAATGTTTAGATTTACAAAAAAGGGAAACCCATGAAACAAATAAAGGGAAACTACTGGTGATTTTGTGCATCTGCTGCATTAGCTGCATCCACTGCATTAGCTGCATCCACTGCATTCGCTGCATCCACTGCATTAGCTGCATCCACTGCATCCGCTGCATCCACTGCATTAGCTGCATCCACTGCATTCGCTGCATCCACTGCATTCGCTGCATCCACTGCATTCGCTGCATCCACTGCATTCGCTGCATCCACTGCATTAGCTGCATCCACTGCATTCGCTGCATCCACTGCATTCGCTGCATCCACTGCATTAGCTGCATCCACTGCATCCGCTGCATCCGCTGGTGCTAATCCGTTCGCCTCCGCTTCGCCGTTAAATGCGTACAACTCACGCAGGAATTCTTCAAATTCTTCATCCGAATTACTACCATCCGACTGATTTTGCTGCATCTAAAATTAAGTTTTCAGAATAAATCTCAATTTTTCATGCAAATTCTGATTTCTAGCACTTAAATTTTTTTTAAAAATGACTTACGTTTTCCTGTGTTTCTTGGTTATTCGGTACATCCAATCTGGCGCGTTGCTCAAACTCCGATATCTTTTCTTCAAGCTCTTCGTTTTTCGCATCAATTTCAGCAATGTGTTGCTGAATAGTTTCAAGCAAGGACGATATTGAGTTAAAACCGAAGTTTTCGAATGCCATCTTAAACTGAAGCCATCACTTCTTTCTTTCATAATTCTTCCAAATTAATTCCAAGAAGAAATTTGTTACTTTCTTAAGTTACAAATACCACTAATACTCCTTCAGAAAATAATAAATCAAACAACGATGTTATCCTCTAGAATTGTCCAGCAAAGCAGTTGCTAAGGAATGTGTTGTCAAATCTGATAAGTTCGGAAAAGAATGAGTGGAACTTAGTCTAAGTTGGATTTAGGCGGCGATATTAAAGGACTACTCAATCACATGAAATGATGAAAATTTGCTGTAAAGCGATGTAAACCACAGAAAAGCTCTCTTAGCCTTCAACCATTTCTACCCAGATCTAATGAACAACCAGATGGCGGCAAATTTTGAACTCTCTATTCTCAATAAATCCCAGTTCATCTCCCCTTTTCACTTCCTCAATAAATACTTTTATTTACACGCAAACCATTTACGTGGACAACTCGAAACCCACGTGAGATGAAACAAAAGAAAGACAATTTGAAAAGACATCCACCTCACTCACCGAGAAAATAATGAAGTGAATGACTTGTTGTATACTATTCTAAGAAGACGGAACATCTGCAAATTTTCATTGAGTAATCTGTTTTGTTTCCTAATTTGATTGTTACCCGAATACTTGCCCACCCCCCTTTGTGGCTTTTCCTGCCCAAAAGATTTTCTTGTATTTACCGGGATGAAATGACCTGTCGGGGTGTGTGCACATATTTTAGCATTAATATTTGCAGAATGATTCGTTTGCTCGCTAATTTCTTCACATAAGTTCTCAAAGGAGACTTTTTTAATTGATCATTAATATGAAATTAAATAGATGGCACATATAAAGAAGAAAAGTAATTTGCTGAGGTAAGAAAGAAGTCTTGAAAAAGTCAAAATTTGCATATGTTCCAGAAGTTTCTCCCTGACTATTTCCGTAGATTCATGGAGTATTGTATAAAAAGGCTCTCACAGTCGTTCTTTTCATCTCAGTTATTTTTGCTGCGCTCAAAGTCTCTCTCCAAGGCGCTTTTCGTTTCGTACCGCGTGGTCTCAGGGTGTTTAGGGGTTATAGAGCTTCAAGATGTTACAAGAAATAGTCGGGCGCTTATGCTACACACACACATACATTTACCCACGTATATGCCATGCCCAAACTGAACACATGCACACACACATACACACTTACCCACGTATATGCCCACACACACGCGCATGGACATGGACATGGACATGGACATGCACACACACACACATACATTTACCCACGTACATGCCATGCCCAAACTGAACACTCATATACACACACACACACATACACACACACACGCACACACGCACACACACACACACACACACACACACACATACACACACACATTCATTTTGAAACTTCTAGACAATATAGAGATAATATTCCATTTGATTCACTTCCTAAGCATTAATTATTGGCAGCATTTGTAACCGGAAAAAGTAGCCAGCTTATGGGATCAAATTGTGAAAGTTATGAAGAAGTAATTTAATGATATTTATTTAGAATGGCATCTGAAAACAATACGGGGAGCAATCGCGACGATCAGAATGCTACACAAATTCAACCAATGAAGAAATGGAAATCCGTTTCCGACATTTATGAACCAAGAAGACTCACAGTAACTCTCAGTGAAGGTTAATTTATAATTATGTTTTCTTTACCTTCAACTGAAGTGAAGTGGGAATGTTGATAACTTTTCTCATTTTACCCATAATTGTTCTTAAGTACTGCTTCATTTGCTGAAAAATTTAGACACACTATCGCTTCTGCATCGCCTTGTTTACAACGAAACTATCGGAGTTTTGGAGGAGAACGAAAAACTTAAGGCAGAATTATTTAACTTGAAGATACAATTGCTGTTGATTAGAAAAAAATACCCATTAATGCTGGACGGAAACGGAAAAAATATGACCAAAAAAGTAATTCATACTGATTTGCTACCCATTCCTGATTATTTGCTGTTTTGAAGGAAGAGAAAGACGGAAAAGTAGGCTTATTAAAGTTGTCTTGAAAGCTGTTGATACTACTTTTTTTTAAAAAAAAAGCGTTACTTTTTTTCAAGTGCATTTAATATTGAAGCATTTTGTAAAGAAAAAAAACCTGTCCATAATTTTCTCTTTGATATTTCAGTATATAGATGCAATGATCGAACTGAACAATGTGAGAAATGAACGAATCAGACTGGAAGAAATGTGTTACGCACATGAGAAAAAGCTCAATGAACAAAGACGGAAAATGCGACGTGAACGAATCATTCACAAGAAGAAACGCGGAAATCTACTTAAGCAAAAGAGAATACTTAAATCGAAACTGAAAAATACCCTCCAGAAGTTGCTTGAATTAGATTACAAATATGATAAGCACATGTCGCCGATACCGAACAAGGACACGTAGGTTCAAAAATTAAAGTAGCCTTATCATTTATTGCTATTTGCTAAGATCCATTTGAACTTTTTTTCTTACATCAAAAAGCTGTAGTTGACGTTCACTAATTATTCCAAATATTACAGAAAAACCGAAGAATTGAAATTGCGATTGTCGCTTGCTAATCTTATTTTGGAAGAGGGGAATCTAACACCCTGTGAGATAACTGAACAAACTGGGGAAGACGAAGATGAGCAAGAAGAAGGATCATAAGGAATCAGGTTTAATTTCTTTTATCAGTGAGATATCATTGTCTTGAAATGCGCAAAATTTAATTAAATATAAAGTAAATTACACAAGACTATTTGAATTGATTTTAAAATGAGCCAAATGCTATTATAAAGATTTTATATACAGAGTAAGATATTGAAATTGTCATTTGACGGGATGTTACAATTTTTCTTACCATAGTACTTTCACAATTTTCCGCATTTAAAGAACAGAGAAGTATTTATGAAATGAACAATGATATTTCCAAATTCATAATGCTGTGTTCTTCCTTGCTTAATGAAATTATATAAATGATATTGTCAAAGTGATGAAGACTGCATCGTTTATTTCTGATCAAATATGTTGCTGTCGTATGATTGCTACTTTTGCTATTGTCACTTCTACCATCGGAAATGATCGAAATTCTGCTTGAAGTATTGCTTCATCACAGCAAATATCACCGCTGACAATGTTTGCGGTATAGGAAACAATGAAGTGAGCGGAATCTTCGTGGATCATCTTCCATAATGTATTCTTCCGGTACGCGGACAACATTCTTCACTATTCTCGGTCGTCCACCGGCACTGAAGCTAATCTGAAAGAGTTTCTCATACTGCTACAACGCAATCTGGAACGTTATCATTCGGACATCTACACATATGTCCTCTGCTGACATTCGCTGTGGAAGATGAGCTTGCACGGCTCCAATATGGCCTGAAAGGAAAAATCTGACTCAGGCAGATGGAACTCATTAGTCTTGCAAAGCCATAAGTCTACCAGATACAAGAAATAAGTCTATAACATGAATATTTCGCTACCTTTAAGCTTGCTAGTTCTAGAAAACCACAAGTTGTCAGATGGACGAACAAAAGGACGAACGTTAAGCCTAGTCTAAAAAAGTCTTTGCAAACACCCGAAGGTTATACCCTGTTTCATAAAGGTGAGAGAAAAAACTAGGTGAAACTCGCATTCGAAGCTACATGACAGTTTTGTTCAGGAAAATCCTGCATGACTAAGCAGCTTTCTTCAAAAACAGCATTGTTTTCTCCGTATGGAGAGGAGCCTAGAGAAGATAGCCTAGCCAAGACTCATCTCTACATTCTAGACTTAAGCATACGACTAGCCAAACAACACTCATTTGTAGTCAGTGATGTATTTTTTAAGTATCATCGCACCTCAACGGTAGACATGAAATTCAGTCCATTATCTGACTTGAAAAAGGGAAGAACATTTAGCATGTAAGCCTACATCGACAGGTTCCTGAAATTTTCCCTTGACCACCACCTTCGAGAACTCATTATATAAGAAAGTTCCAGCAGTCATTTTCTCTAGTCGCGTCGTTCCACTACCCAACACAAACATACACGCACACACGTAAGCAAGTATACGCATATACACGTGCACTTGTACACACGTATGTATATTAATTACTGAAAAATACGCGGAAAAAACCAAATATAAAAAAGTTTTTTGTACATATTCCAGGAAAATATCTTATTTTTCCTATTTATAAATAGATTAACCACAAATGAACAAGTAAAAACAACAATTTCTGTAAATTAATACATTCCTTTCAACTTATGTTCCCGTCGATATTAAATGATAAATAAGGAAAGTAAAAACTAACATTTACATTTCACTTTCCTCTTCATATATTTTATCTGTCCCATTCTAATTCTTCCATCACTTGGAATTTAATTTTACTGCTATTCATTGCATTCAGTAATCAGTTAATAAATTTTCTATGCTCTTTTTGATAAAAAAAGATAGGCCGCCTATCACTTTTGATCAATGCTGATAGTCACATTCCCAGTTCAGATTTGCTTACATTTGTGATAGAGCAGCTAAAGATGAATGTAATACTTCCACTGAAATTTGCTAAAAATCCGATTTTTTTTGTCATTTAGTAGCATTTGTTTCATTATTTCGCAGACAAGAGCGCTTTTTATAATCGTAAGAATTAAATATGCTTTCGAGTAAACAAAAACAAAACTTTATCAGAAAAAAGAACAAACGATTTCGAAAAAAATTGACTCCTGGTCGTATAGCGAGCAGTTTTTGCGTAAACAATAATGACACCGGTAAAAAAAAAAACAAAAAAACAAAAAATGTTTTTTTCACAATTTTTTAATGATATAATAAATAAAAGGCACAAAATACTTCATAAACAATAAACATACTAATAAAGAACACCAACAAAACAAAAAAAAAAAAGACTGTTTACAACTTTTTCTTTTATAATAAAATAAATGAAAGACGTTAGAAATGAACAATAAACATAAAACACTGCCAGAGAAAAACGAATAAACAAACGTTCCACATAGCTAATGCAATTACCTTTCATTTTTCTCACTCTCTAAATGTTTAATTGTTTCATGTTTAGCTCAAAATCTTCATATTTACTCATCCTATCGTTTCGTTTTTACTTAAAAAAGTTCCAATTTCGAAATTTTCATTTTACTTTTAGTTTTTTCCAGCTTAAAAATTTTCCACTACAAAAATTTCCAATTTAATTGTTACCCATTTCAATTTTAATTTCAAATCCTTTCTACAATTAACTACTATTCCACAACTCAATTCTAATTCAACAGCTTATAAACACAATAATTTCATAATGGAATCAATATATAAAAAATCACTTTTAACTGTAACATAAACTTTGAACTACTCAATTGATCTTTTCAGGAGCAATTTTCTTCTGTATTTCTCTATTTGGTGTAATAATTCGGCAAAAAATTTGTCTTCCACGGCGATGACTTCTTGGATGCACGTGGAATCTGTGGCACCACTCCGTGTTGCACAAATATCGGTGGCAGCGTCGTCCCTTGCGACGACACATCCTGCATCTCCGAATGAAATGTTTGATGCGGCAGTATCGGTTGCACTGGTATTGGCTGCATTGGTATTGCTTGCTGTGGAATTACTTGTGCCTCTGGTTGCAGTATCTGCGATTGCAGCACTTGTTGCGGTAGCATTTGCTGTTGCTGCTGCTGTTGTTGAACTTGTGTCAACGATACCTGTGACTGCTGGAATACGTCGTTCTGCGTAGGAACTTGCTGCGAGAATTCTTGCGTTGAAGATGCTTCTGGCGAGAAAACATTTGATGGAGATAGCTCTGGTGATACATTCAAGAACGAAAGATTGTTCGGGTTATATTGCAGATCGTTTACTTTCAAATCGTTTGACTACAAATGTTGATAGTTACAAAAAATAATGTGAGATAAATTCAATGCTATTACATTTCAGTTCTAAATATTTTAAGATAAACAAATATTAGCCCCGAAAGAAAAAAGAAAAAAGGCTACAAAGCACACTCGTTGAACTGTTTGTAATGATTGGCTAACTCAGTGATTATGCATTCGATTGAGATTTCATTTTGCATAGATATATGGTGAAGTTTGAAAGAATTATTTCTGATTTAGAAGAAGGAAAGATAGCAAAAGATGACTGAAGAGGTAAAGGAATTGTAATATTTATTTATAGACATCTGCCTCTAAATTCACATAATTCTCTTCATTTCGTTTTCAAGCGGTAAAGTCATCAATTATGCTAAAGCGAAATTATGATACGGAAACTTACAACTTCCAATAATTGCTGTGCATTCGACTGATTAACATCTGGTTCCGCTGTTGGAGCTTGAAACATTGGCGAATCGAAAATATAACTGCTTCTGAATACTGATTCAGTTGAATTGCCACTGTTTACGGTAAATGCTGGACGAGGTTTGGGTTTCCAAATTTCAAATTCTGCAATGAAAAAAATATATGCTTAATTTTATAGATGTAATGTGGACAGCAGAAAAAGTCTTCCATTTCATTGTTTTAGGTGCATCTCAAGAATTCTGGATTTCTTGCTTCATTTCTGTTTCTTACTCTCTTATCCAACTTTTATATTGTTACATATCATTACCAGATGCATTATCGCTTGTTGGTACTGTATAGCACCAATTATTTTCAATACTGATGGGTTCATCGCATACCGGAAATCCGACGTTTTCAGCATGCTAGAAAAAACGCAGGAAAGAATTTTCTAGAAAAATTAAGCATTCAATTTCCTAGTTTAGTGCTTTGATGCACTATTCACTTCTCCTCAAATATTGGTTTTAGAAGAAATGTATATTATTATATTCTCGAAATAGCTTCTACTGATTTAGTATTATCCTCAAGAACAGTATGATTTCATAGCATAGCATAGTTTACTGAGTCAGTTTTTGGCGCTGGAAGAAAAGTGGTAGTAAACTGATCGGAAGACGTGTTATTGCGATTTGGATTATTTGCAACATTCGACATCGAGTTGTCAGCAGGAACAAAATCTGGCTTGGATGGATCTGATGTAAAATATGTCACTGAAGATGGATTTCCGATAATTTGACCTGATTTGACAAATGCTGTAGTTGGTGAATATGTGAAGTCTGTCATTGAAGGCTAAAAAAAAAAAAAAACAAATAAAACTTTTACTTTTTTATAAGGTTTAATAACAAACACGTCCGTACTTTCATCCTTACGTTATCTTTTTAGAACAAAAGTCTAATAAGAATGAAAGAATACAAGTAAATCGCAGCACTGAAACATACCGGTGGATTATAGGTGTTAACTGGATGAGGAAAAGTTGCTAGGGTAAGTGGTATCATCACACTGTACTGATTACTCATAACAGATACATTAACTGGTTTAACCATAGTAGATGAATTAACTGAAAATATCCCAATATCGTTTCAAAAAAGTTTTTAGAAACGGACATCAGGTTGTTGTACCATTTTATGATACCCATGTTGAAAAAATTTATGCACATAAAGTAAGCAGCTTTATGTTACAAAGCATAGTGCTCCAGGTTATGTAGAGTTTTCGATTATAAATTATATGTTTATTATCAGTTAGGCATAGAATTTCTAACTATAAAATATAAGTCTTCCAGCAAACTATAAAATATAGGATTTCAGCTACCAAATATGGTGGTTTTCAGTACAAAAATATAAAAATTTCAATTATAAGGCATGTGATTTTTGATATGAAATATAGGCGTCTAATTAGAAAATGTAAAGCTTCCAGGCACAAAATATAAAGATTTCAGTCAGAAAATATAACAGTTTAGTCATAAAGTATTGAGCTTCCAGCTAGCTAAGTATTAAAGTATAATCCAGAAATATTCCAATTAGTTGATTTCATTTTTTAATCTTTATGCACTTCTCAATTCTCTCATATCCATGCCGTATGTTTAAACATCTAAAAAAAAAACAACCGATGTAATTGTCTTTAATTAATACATAAGTTTTTGTTTGTGAAAACATCACTACTACACTTGGTAATATCGTTTAGTGTATACACCATTGTAAGAGTTTTGTTTAATAAGTAATAAAACAGTGATTGATTTTTGCAGCCGTTACACTTACCATTGCTACCTTCCGCATTCATAGCAAACTGAAAATTCATCGAAAAATTCTCTGAAATTTCAAATAAGCATTCAATAGATGAACAGCAAAAAATTACTTCACTTCAAGGAATTAGAAATAAAATTTTATGATTTTAAAATTTGAAATTTAATTGAGTGAGATATTT